TCACGCTGCTCCCTCCTTCCTCCTCCTCCTCCCAGGCCGGGCACCGTGGCCCTCCGCGAGATCCGCCGTTACCAGAAGTCCACGGAGCTGCTGATCCGCAAGCTGCCCTTCCAGCGGCTGGGCAGGGAAATCGCCCAGGACTTCAAAACAGACTTGAGGTTCCAGAGTGCGGCCATTGGTGCACTGCAGGTATTGCTGGCAGCCCGCTGGGCCTCGACGTTCGCGGCACGGAGCGCGCTTCGCTGAGGGTTTCTAATGACGTTTCTTCTTGTGCTCTTGAAACAGGAGGCCAGCGAAGCATATCTGGTGGGTCTGTTTGAAGACACAAACCTGTGCGCCATCCATGCCAAGAGAGTCACCATCATGCCCAAAGATATCCAGTTGGCTCGCAGGATACGGGGGGAGAGAGCTTAAGTGAAGGCTGTTTTTATGGTGTTTTGTAGTAAATTCTGTAAAATACTTTGGTTTTAATTTGTGACTTTTTTGTAAGAAATTGTTTATAATATGTTGCATTTGTACTTAAGTCATTCCATCTTTCACTCAGGATGAATGCTAAAAGTGACTGTTCACATAAACCTCAGTGATGTGAGCCTTGTTGCTCAGGAGTGACAAGTTGCTAATATGCAGAAGGGATGGGTGATCTTTCTTGCTTCTCATGCATGTTTCTGTATGTTAATGACTTGTTGGGTAGCTAAACTTGTAAGGTACTAGAATTGATATAAATGTGTACAGGGTCCTTTTGCAATAAAACTGGTTATGACTTGATCCAAGTGTTTAACAATTGGGGCTGTTAGTCTGACCATACATCACTGTGATCAAATGTGGACTTTTTCAGAGGGTGAAACTACAAGTCTTAACCACAGTGTAACTTACAGTTTCCTAAAAACGTAAACCTGGCAGCTATAGAATACACTATGTGCATTTATAATAGCTATTTTATATATTGTAGTGTCAACATTTTTAAATTAAATGTTTTACATTCACATGTGAGGAGTCTTTGTCATTTGGTTTGTCTGGGCTCTGAAGAAGCTTATTCCTTCTGCTCCAGTATGTTAGCAGTAGATGCTTGTAATACTGGAACACTCCTGTGGCAACAGGGTTTAGCCTGCCAACAAAATGGAGAACTGCCTCTTGTTACTCTCTAGGAGTGTGGGGTTGTTTTTCCTCTTTTTGGAGGCTCATCTTAAGCTAAGCCAGTAAGCAGAGCTGAACCCTACAGTACAGCTGCGGGGGAAGAGGAAGGATGCTGTTGACAGGCTTAGGCTGGGCAATAACTTTTTATTGTTTTTATAAAGCATAACTGCTCATCTGTTTTAAGGCTGGGTGTAAAGAGCTAGAGGGGTTTTTTTTTTTTAAGTCTTCTTCCTTCCTCCCTCCCCCTGAGTCTCTACAAGGGGGGAAGTTTATTTGAAGTGTTTTGACTGTTCTGCGAGAAACACAGCCACCAGCTTTGACCCTGACTAAGTCTAGAGTGTGAGAAACTTCAGCTGCTTAGGCAGTATGTGTGCAGCGGCTGGTCTGAAGCCCTGGCCTCTGGATCCCCTATGTTTCTATGGGAACTTAACACTGGATGTTGCATTAAGTTGGTCTTAATTGTGCTGGAAGTGCAAGATGGTGTGCAAGTGGAAAAGCTAATTATACAGCCTGAAAGTGTACAGATTGCTAAGCAAAGTGGAGAAGGCTGACTTAGGAAATGAGAATCTTATTGAGAGCTATCTAAGCTTTTTTTTGACTGAACAGGATTACACTCAAACCTTCACACCGGAACATTCCTTCAGGCTTTCTGCTAACAGCTCTGGTTTGCTTAATTGTGCCTCTGGGAACAGCCTTACCTAATTCAGCTGAGGTAAAGGAAAGCTGCTCAGACTGCATTTGAAATGCAGGTAATTAACATTTAAATAGCTAGGCCAGCTATCCTCAATCCTTAAAAAAACAGGATACACTAGTTAAGGCTAAAGTTGAAACAGAAGTAGCATGGGGAAGTAGCTTTAGTTAGTCCATTTTGATTTATTTCAATGAAATTAAAAACTCCCTGGAAAGAGT